CATCTGATACAGAAGGAGAGCCTTGTAGAGCTCAACGATCCTGTTTTCCAACTGAAGCTGGACAGACTTGAAGCTCTCCTTCCCTACCACAATGTTGTTCTGGCTTAGGATATGTTCGGACAAGGCGCAATACCAGTCCATCCGGGAGATAACATGCGTGATGCCCGCCAGGTTGGACTCTATTGCTTCAACAGGATTCAGCAGGATCTGGATGGAGGTTAACCAAGACAACCATTGGGCGGCCGTGTACAGATACGTACCTGCAGTCCAATGCAGACACCAGCCCACGGCAGCGCTGCTTGCGGTATGTTCTGGATCGCCAGGTCGACCATGGCCTTGGCTGAGAGAACGAATTGGGCGGCATCACCGACTCCCTGCGTAATCTTCAACAACTTGGAAATTTTTGCTTGGCCTTCCTCTACCAGCTTTCTCATGTGCGCCTGCCGCTGGCTCGGGTCTTTCAGTGTTGAGGAAACGTCGACGGCGGGTTCAACAGTCCTGTCCCCTAGAACTTTGTTCAGGGTTTCCATGTACGACTCGACAAGCTTTGCGGTATCCTTGTCCTCCGCGAGGCTGTTGTACGCAGCATCCCAGAGTCTCTGAGACATGGGAAGGACAGGAGTCGGTTGCTCTGATGTGGACTCGATCGCTTTTGGCTTAGCTCGGGGTTCGATGGACAGTGCGGGAGGTGGAGCTTGCGACATAGCGGCTGGTTGGTGATGCCCTGTTGCTCTTGCGTCTATATTGAATCGGTGCATGCCATCATGATCGCTGGGCGCGGGGGTAGGAGTACCCGGCTCTGTCGTGGTGCCGGATAGGGTTGTTCGTCCGTCTGTTGGACATGTCAGTCTTGATAAGGCAATCCGGCGCTCGTCTCAAACGTACCCGTGGACTGTGTGGTAGATGGAGCGGGCGAGGTTGCACCATGATGACTAAAAGGCTTCTTTAACCACTTCTTCAGTGGACCCATATTTTTTTTCACGCATATAGCTTTGGCGAGGATACTTGTTCAGGAGAAAAGAGGCTATCGCAACAGCAGCGATATTGTGAAGTTGGCGGCTGCATATCGCGCGGTTGCCGCGGAGCGGAGTTGAAAGATGCAGCTGTCTCGCTTAGCGGACGCCCTGAGACGGGGCTGTGGCGCTGCGAGCACTCGGTGCAGGTTGATGCAATTGGTGAAGTCTGCATTAGCCTGCTCTGAGGTGGCTGCGCTGCGGTTATGCCAATTGGCTGTTGCGACGTGATGTGGCATTGTGCTACTGCTGCTTTTATCGCTGACACCCTTGGCTTCCGTTGCTGATGAACACCGTCCCGCTTTGTGGAGGCTACAATCTGACACATAATGAGACTTCAATCGTCAGGTGGTGGGTGGGGAGGTGGTTTAGATGAATTTGAGTCCTGGTGCCTATGATTTCTTAGTTCAATAGCTCGGCCCCCTACATGATGAGGTACTGGACGGTGGCCGTGTGCCCGGCCGCGGCGGTATGGTAGAGCGGCCTCCGGTCCTCATTATCCTTCGCCTCCTTATTGGCCTGCTGCTCGACGAGGTACTAGACGACAGCCCTGTGCCCAGCCGCGGCTGCTCCACGATCTTTCTCTCTTCACACTGTCGTGTGACATATCCACGAGTACATTGGCCTGTGCGGCAGCTGCATTTGCAGTTCCATCCTTGTTCCAACCCATCTTCACATTTCGGAAGTGTCAAGACAGCTTGAATGGTAGAATTGATATGTAGCTAACATTTGGACTGCCTTAGACCGTTTCTGTATAAGGGAAGTACAGAGAAAGTGGTCTTCGGCCGGATTAGCTGAGGGCCGCCTAACTGATTGACCGTGGTGGTGTGGAGCTTGGTAAGTTTGAAAAGTTTGCCGCCTTGGTCCGTGCGCGAGCTGACCTTGATGAGATATGTACGTCGCTTGGCTGAGACTGTGCAGTAGCATTTGTCAGATTTCTCGGTTGAGCCTTTTGCTATCGAGGTCCAAATCTTAGCACGCTGCAAAATACTCCGTATGTTGTTTTTAATTAAATTTGCATGTATCTCCGTAGTTTTTGACTAACAGTTGTGGAGAGAGTACTCATCTTCAATTCACTCCCGCCTCACTAAGGTGCGGTGCGATTGGCTGCAATGACCCGACCTAGTGGCTTCGACACTTCAACCCTTAAACCCTTAGAGACTACTGCCCGCCAAATCCAGCCAAGCTAGGTAGTATAGTGCTGGGCCATTTAAACCGCGGCATCCATTCCGCTAGAAAGTACGCGTCGTCTACTCTACGACGACATAATGGACATGTAGGATTTACTGCCCTATCCCTAAGCCAATGACCCATGCAAGAAGTGTGAAATAAGTGTCTGCACCGTAATACTACAGCCGATTTGCATGCTTCTGCTTCTTCTATACGCTCCCAGCAAATGCTACAGTCCTCGAGGTCGGAATTCCAGTAAGGATCTTCAAGTCCAACCTCCTGCCAGGCCTGAGGGGCAGCGGATGAAAACCATGGGTCGGACTGATCAAAAGGTAACCCGAATCGTCGAAATCGTTCTAAGTTAACTAGAACCCGAGGGAACTCCTCGCTGAATGGATAGTAAAAGGAGTCCACTCGATCAGCTCTATGCCGTGGACATGCGGGAAAGATGCCAACAATGTGCTTTTCCATACATGATATATGGATTCGACACTTGCACTTTAACTCTAGTAGTTTAAGAGATGGACCTTCGCGAGAGCAAGGAATCGCTATGCATTGCCCTGTAGGTATACTCCAGGGGTGGTATAGATGGTGAGCCACTAAAGTTGATTAGCTGGTATAGAGGGAGACTATATGAGCAACTCTACCTTGCGTAGCTGTTTCTGGTATGCATGCCGCTGTTGATTATGCTCCTCTATAATAGAATTAACTAGATTTCGAATAATAGTTATCAATTCAGGACTTATCGCATGTTCACGTGCGACCGGCAGCTGCTGCACATGTGGTTCTTGTTGCTGGACTTGTAGAGCGTCCTGCAATACCGGCTGCTGCTGTGCCTGGAGAGCAACTTGCCTCCGTGGTCCTCCAGAATCAATATAGTATTGATTAATCGCCCTAAGCCCTCGGTGTCGAGTAGCCCAAACGGATGTCCAGAGATCTGAGGTAGTAAAAATGCGGCGGCCCCGGCTCCAAGCAAATATCCATGCACAATTACCTGAAGGATCTTCGGCAATATAGTCGATATGTGGTAGTTCTGGTGTTACTGGCAAAGCGTTAAGTTCTCCTCTACCTGCTATTGGAAAGTAATCAACTGTATCCGGGTCAAGTCCACAGTCTTGTAGTGTAATTGCAAAAGCTCGCAGTTTGCTTTGTCCTTGTTGGAGAGGTAGTACGACTATAACAAGATTGTTTCTTCCAAGCGGTTTTCCCTCCACTCTTGCCCATACAAGGGGAGGATTCTGGTTAGAAGGGTGTCCAGGTTCGGAAATCCGAATATACAATGTAAGGCCGGCTTGATCTCGGTTGTCAGTTCCGTCGCACAGCGGAAGAATCGGTCTTGCGGGAGGATGAGTAAAGGTTCGCTTCCAGTTTCGTTGCACCTGCTTCTGATTCAAGCAGCAACTGGATATCAGTTAGCTTAAATGTAAGTACGTGGGTAGATGCTACCGTATTGCTTACCCCTCTGCCTCCTACGCCGGATGGCAGCAGAGCGTGCATGGCTCCTTGACCGTGGAGAGGTTCGGGGCTGTTTCGGCAACAGCTTCCGTTTGAAGTCAACACCCTCTCGCGGGGAAAGACCGGTTCCCATATTGCGCTGTGGCAAGTTCCGAGTCGCGATTTCTTTGGAGTAAAAGTCAGTTTCTGAAAAGCATGCCCCCGTACAAATACCCCAATCACCTGCTCTCTTCAATTTTGGCGAATTTGAAGCAGGGCTCAAAAGAAAACAATCACCGCGAGCAAAACCCTCGAAGAATGTCGTCCTTGCAAAGTGATGGTTGAGGTCACGGTGAAGTCGACTACTAGTAGTGGTGAGTCGCACTTTAGGTCTAAGTACTCCGTACTAGTAATTGGGATGAGGAAAAGGAAAAGAGTACCGGGTTTCACAAAGGCACCCGGATTCACGCATACCATTATAGCACGTACATACAGTACGTTGCTCTGCCAGTGACTTCGAACAGACAAAGAAGATCTGCTGGCTGGGCTGCGCTGGAAACCTCGAATACATGATTCTGAATTACCCTTCACTCCATCTTGTACCAGACACATGTCCAAGTCATTCGATGTCACATTATTGACGGACAAGATTCCGGTCATGCATGACCCTACTTGGGAGGCTCCCCGGTGGCGGCAAGGCTTCAAGTTCTGTTCAGCGACAGGTCCTTATCTGTCGAGTCGAAAGAGCCACTTTACCTAGGACTCGGAGGGTAGCTTCCCAGCGGCTTTGCCTGTTGCGTCACACCGTTGGGGTTGAGGGGCTTACTGGTTGATATTCATCTTAGACAAGCGGCTTCATATGTCGATACACTAGGTGGGTTGCTCAGAGGCCTTCAGCGTCTCTGACACGAAACTCATATACTTCGTCCGCCCCGATGTTGAGGCTGTACGGAGTACAATCAAGGCAATTATATACTAGTAGCATCAAGCAAAGAGCACTGGGTATATGACGGGATTGGTATTGGGATTGACGTGGGGACGATGGACCCTATGAATTGAGACCGACAACGACAGAAAACCGCAGCGACAGCGAGGGTTCGGGTAGAGAGGGGGCTTGAGCAGATATCGTGCTCTCCTTAAACTAGCAGGACACAAGGACGACTTTGTAAGACCCGTATCTGTACCGTAATGAGTTACTTTTCAGTTACAGCTTTTTCGAGGCCTCGTCTCAATCTACGGCATGGAAGCTATCGAGGTAGCTCCAGACTTCTCAGATACTAAGCGTGGATCAGAGAAGCCTTCGCCAGCCGGTTGCAGGCACATGGGACCGGAACGGTTAGAGTCATCCAGAGGGCCAACGCCAAGAAAGAGTGATCACGATGCCAGTTTATTCGTTCCGAGAGACGATGCCCGTTGACGCCATGAGTTATCGGGAAACATGTATTTCCGATAAAGAAGCGCAAAATCCGTACCCAGCCGTCGTTCCGCCGCCCATTCGTCCAAGTCATCTAAAGCCGTCGGGCAATTAAACGCACATCTGCCTCGTTGGAGTCAGCCGGTCGGTTCGCGACGAAGTCGAGAGATCGCCATGACGCACCATCTTCCCGCCAAACTTTCCTAGCAACCCGCAATCTATCGCTGGGCGCTCCAGACGTTCTTGAGGAGCCCGTCCCGCTGAGCGAGCCTGTTCAGCGCATCGTCGCTCTCGCCCATGGCCCGCACGAAACCCGAGAGGGCGTAGATGATGTTCTCGCCCTGGATAGCCCGGCCGTTCTCGTCGACCTTGGCGATTGTAATCTGGCAGGAGCCGTGGTCCTTGGCCTTGATGATTCTGCCCGTCGCAGAGCACTTGCGGGGGACGTAGCTAAATGGAAAAGGTTCGATTGTCAGCGAGACTGTCGGCGACTGCGATGGAGCTCTCGTTGAGAAGAATTGGCTTACAGGTCGACAATCTCGCCACGGTCGTTCTCCATGGTTGCGGCTTGGATGAGTACTGCAAGATGACGGGTTCTGGAGTGCGGGTGCGGTGCCAGAAGCAGGACTGCAAAATTTCGGGACTTGGTCTCGAATTTCGATGAGTTTTGGGTGAATTGGTGGGCTGTGCGCGCTCCTAGTGCACGGACGTTTCCAATGCTACCCCACCAATTCCACAGGCAGAAAATTGGTGGGGGCTTGGCATTGGTGTCAGCTGACACCGCGAGAGCATCGCGATGGCGGAGCCCGACCCCCACAACGCCCGTCGGGCTCTTTTCTGTTTTGTTTTGGTTGTTGTTGACCACCATCAAGATATTGCGGCCAACATTAATGATCCAGTAACACACCTATTCCGTGAGCTATTCATAGCCGCAAAGCTGTTGACTCAGAAGATCCCTCGGGCGAGCCTGGAACGCGCAGGGCGTATTGGATTCTTGTTTCTGCTGGACAGACTTAACTTGGCAATGCGCGTCTTGCCATGCCCCTTTCCCGACACCATGGCTCACAACGATTCCATCGTGCTTATCTCGTCCTCGCCCGAGTTCCCATCCATTTGCGATCTTCTTGGCAAGTCGCCAAAGAAGGTTTCTTTGCGCAGCGGGAGCCATGCTGCGCCAATCCCAGAACATGCGCCAAAGGCCTTCACGAGCGCCGCAAGCATCTGGAGGTCATCACGCCTCGATAGGAATGAAAGAGTTGGAGTAATGAATGCAGAGAAGCTCTCTGATGCCGCGTTGTCGAGACTAGATAGCGTTGCAGCAGGCCCGTCTTTAGCAGATGTTGCCACAGATCGTCCGGCCGACGGTATTGAGGGGCAGCAGGTCAGACAGGAGGCAGGAGCACCGGCAAGGAGGAGAAAGCAAGCTAAGTCAACGAGCGCCGATACAGCCGGGGACATACTGCCTGACAGTCCTGCTACGGATGCTCCACCTGCAAAGAAGGCCGGGAAGAAGGCCGAGAGGAAGGCCAAGCCGACCGGTGACACAGCCATGGCGCAGACGACCTTGGTCAAGGGCAAGGTAACGAAACCAGCGTCAACCAGGAAGCAGTCAAGGAAGAAGACGGAGACGATCAGCAGGCATTTCACTGCCCAACCTCCTGCGCAGGAATCCGTGTCAGAACATGTCTCACTGCCCGTAGCGGAAGAGTTGGACGTGGTGCCCGAGCCAGCCATGAAAAGGAGGCTGGATTGGACACCCCCGCGCGAAGGCTCCCTTCTGCAACATATTGCAGATTCTTCGGCTGTGAAAGAAGTATCCCCTCCTGGAAATCCCGGGGCTGAGTCCATGACACCCGCTCAAAAGGATGTCTTCAAAAGCTTACTAGACACCTATGGCCGAAAGCCAGAAGTGAATGCTGGCCCCGATGTTGCCGACACCTCAGGTTCCTCAAGCTGTGACATTCTTGGGAAGCGGAAGCTCATCGAAATGGTGGCTACCGTCGGCAGTAAGGCGAAGACACCTGAACCTTCGCCGGTCAAACCGAAAGCGGCGAAAAAGAAGCCACGAACAATCACGGAGCTCGCAACCGCGGGGTATCGACTGCCAGATGAGGATGACGTTATACTCGTCACAGATAACCCCAAACAAAACTCACTGCTCGGCTTCTTAGAGACAACAGGTGAACAGATTGCGGGGACAACCAAGGACACGGGCGTTAAAGCAAAGGGTGCGAAGAAGCCGGCCAAGGCGAAACCCTCCAAAAAGGCAGAGGTACGCAAACCTGTGCTTCTGTCGCCTACGAGCGCCATGCGGCAAGTCGCCAAGCAGGATTTCGTATTTGGCACAGCGAGCCAATTGGCCACGGAGGATGACCCTGACCTTCTCCGGGCCTTGCATGAGGCCATGAAAGAATCGAATCAAGCGGATAGCGATCCCTTCACCAGCCCCGCTCCCGCGCACAGCAGCCTGGCATTCCGGAGAAGATTAGGGACGGGGCTCTGGTCAGCCGGCGCTCGGGGTGATGACGGAGATCTCCTCAGTCTCGAAGTGCTAGATTTGACACACTCGCCCCAGTTGCTACGGGATTCCATGCTACCCGGAAATTCCCGCGCAGAAGTCCAGGCAGCCAAGCAACCAGCACGCAATGACAAGAGTTTTATCGAGATCGAAGTCCTTTCAGACGACAGTGAACCACTAGCCATGGCGGCGGCCAATCCGATGCCACCATCCTCACGACACAGAGCGAGTCAAGTGCTGCAGCTCGAGGGTCTTGCTCCCTCCAGCCCTAACCAGCATCAAGTACAGGAACAGACAACTTGTGACAGTTTCGAGCCCCCGCCAAGTAATCAAGAACATCACCAGCTTCTGCTGTCCCAGTCAAGCAGTCCACTTCAACCGGGACCCGAAGCGCCCCCGCCCCCCAAATTTGAACTATACTCGGATGCGATGTTGGCCAAAGAGGTGGCTTCATATGGGTTCAAGGCCATCAAGAAGCGGTCAGCCATGATCGCATTGCTGCAACAGTGCTGGGAGAGCAAAGGTAGCAAGAATTTTGCAAAGAAAACAAACCACGTCTCTATGTCAACCTCGTCCGCCAAGCAAGCAGCATCACCTCCGCGGCCAAGGGGACGGCCAAGGAAAGCCCCAGCAACATCAGCCCCGGACCCAGCTGTCAAAGCACCGCTTCAAACGGTGAAACGTGGGAGAATGCGCTCCGTCGCACCCGTCAGCACAGACACAGAAGCATCGCAGGATGAGAAACCGGCTGAGAAACGATCTCCCAGAAAGCCCAAAAAGGCTGCGGCCGCAGCTCTGCCGAAACCAAAGGGAAAAGCCGCCTCAAAGCGTGCCCGATCGCCACAAGCACCGCCTGCGACCGCACCAGCCACGCCGAGGCGTCGCAACGCTGCTGCAAAGTCCGCAATCGAGATCGCCGACTCGGAATCGGATGATTCCTTCGTTTCCTCCCCCGAATCGTTATCCGGCAAGACAGACGCCTCTTCCTCCCCGCGTTCACAGCAGAGAGACGTTTCCATCACCGAAGACACCGAAATGTCCCTCGTGGCCAGCCCGACAAGTCAGCAGCTGGCACTGTTCGGATACATCACACAGGCGGTCATCACGGCGCCGCCGACAAAGGATCCAACAAATCCGTCGTGGCATGAGAAGATGTTGATGTATGATCCTATTATTTTGGAGGATCTGGCGGCATGGCTTAATTCGGGGCAGTTGGATCGCGTGGGGTATGATGGGGAGGTGTCGCCGGGGGATGTGAAGAGGTGGTGTGAGAGTAAGAGTGTCTGTTGTTTGTGGAGGGTGAATTTAAATGGGAAGGAGCGGAAGAGGTTTTGAGTTTTGGCTTTTGACTTCTGAGAGGTTGTCGGGGTGAAGGGAGGTGGACGAGCTTGTGGTTTGGCTTAGAGGTTTCGGGGAGAGACAAACCGGGAGCCAGGGGTATGTGCCGGTTTTGGGACAGGGCAAACGGACTTCGGCGTTTCAGCAGGCAGTTGGTTTGGAGGAGTATATGTACAATTGATGACTGGAAACAAGAAAGAGAAGCACAGACGGATACAATTTCTATTCAATCCATGTCCATCCTTCGCTGTAAGTTCTGGCGGTCAGCGTTGTCTCTCCGCCATTTTCCACGATTCGGTGTTTGAGTGGGGCCTGGCTTTAGCGGGGATCGGAGTTCGGGTCGCACAGCAGTGAGCCTCGGCTCGGGCCTCTTCCCCCGTTTCCACATCTAACGCTCGGCCTCACTCGTCCCTTGTTAATAAGGTCCCCTCCGGAAGCTGTCACCCGCGCAATTGATAAGGGTGATTCGAAGTATTGCTCCTAATGACCACAATTAAACCCATGAAGGGTTGGCACACCGCAATCATCCCAATTTTGCGACCTACGCCAATTTTCACACAGAATCCTTGGATTTGCCATTGGCACTCGCACCCTCTACATCCGTGCCGGTTCTTCTCATCAGCTGCATCCTCATCGGTCAACTGCAACCCGCCATTATCATCTATTAAAGGAGTGAGACGGATTACACGCGCACAATCTACACGGAATTTCTCAACTATGCCAATTCGAAACGGGGGAGGGACAGCCAGTACTGCTGGTGAAAAAGTCCCAAGAACGAAAACCCCTGCAGTACTTCGCCTCAGTTCAAGGTATGCTCTCAAAGCATCTACCCTTCCCAAATAGTAGTCCTCAATTCTAATTAATCCGTCAGTATCCTCCTCCTATCCCCAACAAACCAAGTTCTGCTGCTCCACCGGGTGCAGACATCAACCTCGTTTGCCTCGGCTCATGTCTTTCCAGGCGGGAACCTCTCCTCGTTTCATGACGGCGAGCTGCCTTCGGTGAACAGCCCTGCGATGCACGAGGATGGCCCGGCGTATCGCTTGGCTGCGGTGCGTGAGACGTTTGAGGAGAGTGGGATCTTGCTTGCAACTGTAAAGGAGTCTGCTCGGAATCGGAATCGTGATCGGGGTGGGGGGGCGGGGGCAGGGCTGTTGCATGTCTCTGATGAGGTGAGGGAAGCGGGACGGAGGGAGGTGCATAGTGGCCGGGTGAGGTTTACGGAGTGGTTGGAGAGTGTGGGGGGTGAGCCTGATGTTGGTATGTTCTTTTGGAGTTTTGATTTTGGTTGTTTGATGCCGGGTCGAGCCCAGTGCTGCGGTCCTAACCACTGCCGCAGACAACCTTATCCCCTTCACACGCTGGATCACGCCCCTTGGCGTGCCCAAACGCTTCACCACCCAAATGTATCTCTACATGCTGCCGCTTTCGGCCCAAACCACGCCAACTCCATACGGCCTACTCCACCACGAGACCATCATCCCCACACCCACCCACGACGGCGGGCTGGAGCACACCGCCGCCACCTTTGAAGACGCTCACGTCTGGCTGGAGAGGGCGCGAAAAGGCGAAATCATTCTCTTCCCGCCGCAGTTCTACCTGCTGCACCTCGTCAGCGAGTTCCTCCGACCCTCACCCTCACCCCCACCGTCCTCCTTCCATCACCAGACTGCCTCGGCGGCGGAGTACTACCAATCTCAGCGCGACGCGCTGATGGCGTTCCTTAACAAAACCCCAACCACCCCGCAACAGCAGGAGATGCATGGCATGAAGAAAAGAAGGGAACACGATATCCCTTGGTCAGAAAAGGTCATGAGCCCCACACTGCTGTTTGTCCGACAGAGCGACGGCAGGCTTGTGCTTGGCCTGGACAAGCCCGGGCCGGAGTTGAAGGAGTCCGGGAGGGGTGGGGATTGGGACCGGGTGGTGCTGGTGAAGTTCTTGAAGGAGGGCCCGAGGAATGTGGAAGTGAGGTGGAGGGAGGAGGTTTTGAGTGAGGAGAGGGAGGCGGAGAAGAAGAAAGGCCAGGAGGTCAAGCTGTAGAGGGACTATATAAATTGCTCTGGTTCTTCTGGTGCTACTTCCTGCAAACAGCAACAATCGCAACCATGGGAATACCCATCGCCGCGGAGCCATCCGGTTTTTCAAACTTCTCCGCAGCAGCTTCAATGAGCTCGTCCAGCGCATCTTCAAATCTCCCCAGCTCATCCTCACTCCAATCCTGAAGGGAAGACTTGGTCTGGGTATTCAAAAGGGACGACACATCCCTAGCCCGCTCCCCAGCGTAATGTACCCTCGCCGCTGAAACTTCCACTTCCCCAAACCCTGCTCTCTCTAGCACTTCCCGCACATGCTCGGGCCGGAACCAAACATCTTTTATCGGCAAGTTGATCAGAGGGGCATCGGGACGAACCGTCTGCTGCGCCTGATGCAGAAGCGGCAGATACCCCAGATCCTGCCACGACGTCACGACTGCCGTCCCGCCTGGTTTGAGCGTGCGGAAGATCTCCTTGGCTCCCTGGTCGGCGTCTGTGAAGAACAGGATGCCCAGGTTGGTAATGGAGTGGGTGAATGTTTTGTCGGGGAAATCCAGCCTTTCGGCGGGCATCGTGGCGCAGTGAATATTCAAGTTTGGTTGCTGCCCTTCGAACTTGTCCCGGGCTATGGCCACCATGCCGGGAGCGGCGTCGACGAGGTGTAATGTCGCGGGTTTGACGTTGCGGGTTGCCATGTGATGCAAGAGTTCCTCGGCGGCGATCCCCGTGCCGCAGGCATTGTCTAGGACCACGGAATTGTCGTCTAGGTTGGGGAGCAAGCCAACTACGTGCCGGGCTAGCTCTCGCGTGCAGCCCCCGGTGCTTGCTTCGTACGCGGCAGCGGTCTGGTTGAAATGCTGGACCGCCGTCTTGGGTGGGTTGGAGGAGGACATTGTATCACGATTTAATACGGTAACCGCACAGACTGGAATAGGCGGAGTGCACGACTAGGAGTGGGGAGATCTCAGTTGTTGAGGATTTTCTGGAATCTGGATACGATTACGGACTTAAGGAGGATATGAACTTGCTGGCTTAGACGGTCTTATAGTGCGGGTTCTCGTGCTTACCTACCTACGTATCCCTCATTGGTCTAAACTTTGAAGCACACGAATCTACGCAATGAAGGCTTGGTCGTGAGGACCTTGACGGTGGGAATCCTGTGAGCTGATTCGAGGGGGAAATTCTGCGACGCGATGAAGCGTCGCCAAGCCATGAGCAGAAGATTCACGAGAAGTCTCCGAAATCGTTCCAGTTCTGCGTTCTCGGTTCTCAGTCCTGATGCATCTGCACGGCCACGAAGATCTAGGGAAGAGGAATATATGTTGATTGTTGAATCTTCATGGCATTGACGGCAGCCATGAGCAGCTCAGAGTCCGCAAGAACTTGATGAGCATTTCGCATTTTCGCTGCTTATCACGCCGGAGATTTATGCGAATAACGTTACCCATCTTATCAAGTTAGAGGGTTGTACGAACTAAGTACGAATAATGAAGGACGACGAGAGTACATCATCGTCGGGTCGGGAGGGGTAGAGCCCGGGTGTCGAGTCGCTATCCGTGGAGCATTGGAGCGTCGGCTGACGGGGGACGATTAACTGACCACATCGCAACGCTTCTTATGTCGACTTCGCTTTGAACCTGTAACACTTGGAAGTGTTAATAAGTCGACTTGGCGGGTGCTGGTGCCGAGACACCCTCAAGCCCAGCCGCCCAAGGGGCTGAGCCACCGCCAAACCCCCCCGCACGTCTAGGTGCCTGTCGTCCGTACTAACCACTGACAGCTCATCTTCTAAGGTCTTTCAGAGAGCAGCGATGAAGGGCATATTAGTACATAGACGTGTGGAAAGCGAAACGCGACTTGCAGGTGGCCAGCGACAAGGCCAAGCTGTATGTACGAAGTGGGGAGTAAGTGTAGAAATCCTGTCGAGCCTGTGGAAGCAACGAATGGAAGCCATGACCCCACAGTGGGTCTGGCGGGCCCGGAGGCCTGAAGCCCTGAACGGCTTTCTTCACTAAGGTAGGCAGACGTGAAGATCAGAAGAAGCAACTTAACAGAATCCTAAACCGCCGTGGATAGGCAAAGACTGCGAATTGTCCCTCGCATAAGTTGTCTACAATCACGACATTTGTACGAAGGGTGGGCGGTCGAGTCTTCCTAGGGCAGGCCGCAGCTGGCTGCCTCTCCCGTTCAAAGCTTGGTGTGAGGCGCATCCGTTGTGTGGGGACCCCGAAGGCGCCCGCAGCGCTGCGCTTGGCGGGCCGCAGCCTGCCGCCCGCGGTTCTGCCTAGCCGGCGCTGTGACACAGAGCCCTCCCGGGAACAGGGGTTCGATATCGCCGTTCAAACGTGCAAACGCCAAAGGAGTCACTTCACATGACACACGCATGCGGCCTCCAGCCAATGCATGGGTTTACCTCGCATCTTCAGACGCAGAAACAGCCTGGGAGGAATGCGATTGCTCGATATGGATCAGACGGTGGAGTTTGCTGCCTGGTTGTTATCATGATAATTCGCCCTTTGAAGCTCGGAGTTTGCGTTTGGGCGCTCGCTGTGTTGCGACCGCCTGCCTGCGCATTGAGCTACAATAGGAACAATAGGGACAATACTTGCAGCGCAGCCTTTGATCCCATGTTGACCCCGGTCACCTGGCAAGGCAGTGTATTGTGAAGGTCCAGTCATTGGTTTTTCTGCCTAACATTCTTGGTGGTCAAAAGGGAAGCAGGTAGAGAAGTATTTATCTGCTTTACTTTCCCCCAATCTACTTCTGCTACGTTCTCTCATACTTTGTCCAACAATATATAAGCCCATAACTGATCATTGATCTGTCAGGTACCTTACCCAGCAGGTACTTGAGGGACTTCATCACTCCTTCTTGAGTCTGGATCCCACTCAGCAAAAGTTTGCAAAGTTGATCCCAACGATTGCCCCATCCTTCACCATGGCGCCCGGCATTGTCTGCGACACTCCTCTCGCCGTGGATACGAGCTGCAAGATTCCCGAGATCGTGGTTGTCAATGGTGACACAAAGCCCAGGATTGTCAACGGAACGGCATCCAAGGAGAATGGCGAGGTTCAGCCAAAAGAACTCGCGTCTGAAGAGACCGAGCAAGATGGCGACAGCGACAGCCAAAGCGACGATTCACGAGAGGACCAAACCATGAAGTGCGAGATCAAGCACCTCGACAGGCGCTACGACGAAAAAGACGAACTCTACTTCACCGAGCGGAAGATCGACGTCGAAAAACCCAAGCAGAAGGACTGGTGGCGCCAATTTGCCTTCTGCCTGGTTCGCCATTACGACTCACAGGACGAGCTCGAGAACACATGCCTCTATGTGAATGCCCAGCCGCTCAGACAACTCGTCGCCGACGTCATTGGGAACTATCCTGGAGCTCCCATCAACGTGGATGATGTCCAGATCTCGGCCCCTTATCGCTCCCTATTCCATTATCGGACCCAGCTGGAGGCCGAGGGTCTCAGACGGTTCGCCGAGGATGCCGAGTCTCTTGAGCAGCTGAAACTCCTTATCGACTGGATCAAGAAGCACTTTGCGTTGGATATTGCCGCGTATGAAAGGTGCATCAACCTGGAGCACAAGGCAATTGCGTACGACAAACTCTGGACTCTGTTTCCCCCAAAGTCGATTGTATATTGCAAGCTTCTCGGCCAGAACCGAGCCTTGCGTGTCGTCCAGACGTGGTATGACGATGGCGAGTTATCTCCAGGGCTGTACTTCCAAGTTGAATATGTCGACTTTGATGGCGACCGTCTCGGGACTGGCCGTCTTGAGCTGGCCATCCCGAGATACCCCGGCGTTCAAGAGCTTAACCAACTCAACGCCATGCCCCTCGACCTGCTTAATGATGCCAAAGAAGTCCGCGAGGAACTGTTGGCGCGGGGTCGGAAGTTTGAACGCTACATCGGCCAACATTTCCTTCAGTACAACGGAATTGCCGCCAAACGGACGAAAGACGGCTACGCGAGGTTCAACGTAAACGGCCGTGTCATGATCGACTGCAAGACCTATCACAGGCTTGAGCCCAACGACGCCTTCACCGTAACCAGCTTTGGCCTGGCGATCAGAAACGAGCGGAGCCGACAGAGGGCCATGGCGAACATGATGTTTTCGCGCTCGTCCAAGGAGGCGCCCAAATTCGATAAACTCTCAGATGAAGAGGCCATGATCACCAACGCCACTGTCAGAGGCTATTCGTTCACGGCTAAGCGCTTCCTCGAGTTCTTCGTTGATGAGCTCTCCGAGATTGAGTGGAATACGAGCTGTTTCGACAACCTGGTGCTCGATCCGGCTGTCAAGAAGACGGTGCAGGCCCTGGTTTCTTCACACTCCCAAAGCCGCGAGACTTTTGACGACATTGTTAAGGGCAAAGGTCAAGGTCTCGTCTGTGTTTTGCACGGCCCGCCCGGCGTAGGGAAGACCCTGACGGCCGAGTGCGTAGCTGAGTTTGTGAAGCGGCCGCTTTACATGGTGTCGTCAGGCGACCGTAAGTAACTTCCTTACCTTCTCCCACACAACCATGTACTAACCAGCCCTTCTGCACAGTCGGAACCAGCAGCTCCGATCTCGACCGCAACCTCACGCGCATCATGGACATGGCCGCAACATGGCGCGCGGTCCTGCTCATCGACGAGGCCGACGTCTTCCTCGAGCGGCGCTCGCTGCACGACCTGCACCGCAACGCCATGGTCAGCGTGTTTCTGCGCGTGCTCGAGTACTACAGCGGCATCCTGTTCTTGACGACCAATCGTGTCAAGACCTTTGACGACGCCTTCAAGTCGCGCATCCACATCCCCATCCGCTACACCGACCTGACTGTCGAGTCGCGTCGCCAGATCTGGAAGAATTTCTGTGGCATGGTGCCCGGCGGCGTGGATATTGACGACAAGGGTCTGACGACGCTGGCTGAGAATGACTTGAATGGCCGGCAGATTAAGAATGCGATGAAGGCGGCGGAGAGTTTGGCTGCGTTTGACGGGGTGAAGCTGGATCTGAACCAGCTGCTGCAGATCACCAAGATTCAGGCCATGTTTGAGAGCGATCTGAGCAACCTGAGCGACATTGACTATACGGCGCCGGGTTCGAGCAAGAAGGATGCTGATACCAGGAACATGTTTCTCTGAACTTTTTCCTGGCTCCCTTCTTTGTCGGGCTTTTTCTGTGTGGGTCTTACCGGACTGGTCGGTCGTCCGCTCGCGAATTCAAGGCTGGCCCATGGCGTTAGGCGTCTAATATTCTGGGCGGGGAATACATAATTAGCGGATGTCTGTAGATAGACAATGAGTCCATGATCATAACATGAAACCGATATGTTAAGCACCGTCTCTTGCTTTTAAGGTGTCGTATTTTACTTGTACTATGGCGTGATGGCGTGATGGTACGGTTTTCATCGGCGGTTTTTAGGGGGTGGATTTTCTTGGGAAGATCTACCGGGAGCCCGGACTGCCGGGAAGCCAAGAAAGCAGGGCTTGTGCATGGGGATTCCAAATTGTCCGAATTTGGAAGTCATTCCCGCTGGCCAATTCGTCGCAAAGAAAAGTCGCAACCCCGCGCTCATAAAAGCTCCCATTCCAACCCCATTCACAATTACATATTGCTTGCATCTTCTGCTCGAGTTAGTCGACTAACCTCATTCCATCCGCATCCCCAGCGTCAAAAACCATCTATCACCCCGTCTCAGCTTGCTCGCTTCACAGAGCTCCCCTGATCCCTACGATAAACGGGACGAACCCCTCACGGACCACCCGGGCATTACAATCCGTGCATGGCCTCGTTCCCAGCCTCGCTCGCCCGCCTCTTCCGTCCGTTTTCGCAGTTCACTACCAACAAAATGGGCACCGTCGCCAACCCGCCCACGATCCCGGAGGGCGCCGAGCGCGCAACCGTCGCGGCAGGCTGCTTCTGGGGCGTCGAGCACCTCTATCGCAAGCACTTTGCCGACAAGGGGCTTTACGACGCCCGCGTGGGTTACATAGGCGGGGACACGGCAAACCCGTCGTACCGGGCCGTGTGCAGCGGTAACACCGGCCGTACGTTTCTCTTTTGCTCACTTATCCCATCTTTTCATTGCCCACCAGTCCAGCCAGCACACGGTTTGCGTTGCTAACCTCCTGATTGATCCAGACGCCGAAGCCACCCTCCTAATCTACGACCCCACCCGTCTGTCATACACCCAACTCCTCGAGTTCTTCTACCGCATGCACGACCCAACGACTCTTAACCAGCAAGGTCCCGACCGGGGCACACAGTACCGCAGCGGCATCTTTTACCACTCGCCCGAGCAGGAAAAGATTGCGCGGGACGTGACACGGCGGGCTAACGAGCAGTGGTGGGGCGGGCGCATCGTCACTGAGATCTTGCCGGCGAAGCAGTGGTGGGACGCCGAGGACTATCATCAGTTGTACCTGACCAAGAACCCGCACGGATATGAGTGCCCCAGTCATTTTTTGAGGTCGTTTCCTGATTTGAAGTGAGCGTACAGTAATGGAGTAGGTGGGGTGTTTGGGTGGTCTCTGGATTTGGTTGTAATGACATGATTATGATATATGAGGTTCAACATTCCATTGCATGAGGCATGGTGTTGTGGTGCTTGTTGTATGGTTGTCTGTTGATATTTTTTTGTTCTGGTTTTTGTAGACTATGAGCTTGATAACGATAGGTACAAGCAATGAGGCTATCAAACCCAAACCCCGCTCGTCGCCAAGTGATGTGATATTGAGGTACAAAGGGAAATAACAACACACCGAGCAGAGAGTCTAAATCTCCTACTATGACCCTAATTGATCACAGCAGCCGTCCACGATTGCCCATAATCTCGCCAGCAACGTTTAACGATTCCTCCTTTGCTGCATCATCAAGATCTGGACCATGCGCACAAAGATGTTGAGGAAGTCGAGCTCGAGGCTGATGCTCTCGTTGACGGGATCCTCCTTGATAGCACCCCGCTGCGCCAGCCGAGCATGGTACAACACCTTTTGGACATCGTAAAGGGTGAAGCCACCGAACACGGCCAAACCACCATACAACCAAAGGTTCTCAGTGAACGCCAGAGTCCGGACAGCAGTGGCGGGGAGGACGAGCGGCGCAAACCCGGAGACGGCAACAATGGCAGCACCAGCCAGGAGAGGGCCACCAATGTAGAGGTACTTGTCCTGCTTGGCGGTGGCACCGACAAACGAGATGCTGCCCATCATGGCGAGCGTGTAGAGGCCGGCCCGGGCGAGCAGTGCAGGCGGAGCGATGGTCATCAGAGGAGCGACGAGAGCCGCCTGGGTGGCGTTGAAGAGGCCCCAGCAGGCGTACTTGGGGATGTAGCTGCGAAAAGGTTCAGTTAGCACCTGGGTATCTTCGCTCGCCGGTGAAGGAAACTTACTTGTCAGGCTCAATAGCACGGGTGGCAACCATGCTGCCAATGCTGAGAGCGATACCGCCGATGCCCACGATCCACGGGTTGGTAACCATGATGCGGTAGACGAAGCCGCTCTGGATCATCTGGTAGGCCGTCAAGCCGATGATGCCGACGCCCAGACCGGTGTGCATGAAGGTCCTGTTGAGGTATGATCGCTCAAACGGGGGCATCCCTCCGTCTTCCCGAGTCTCCCGGTTGAAGACGGCGTTGACAGCAACCAGTGTGCCGCCAAAGATGGCGCCGCCGATCAGTAACTTGCGAAGCAGCTCCCCGCGGCGGGCCGTGGGATCGTATACACGGTCATACTGTGATTGATAGCCGCGCGAGGCACCCTGGAGCCGGGAGAGGATGTTGTTGGAGGACTTGACGTTGGAACGAAAGACGAGCGGCGCCGCCTTGGATGTGAAGAAGGTGTTCTTCGATGCGGATTGATGGAAAGCCCGCAGGGATGCAGCTGTTGACAATTGCGGCACCCGGGACGCGAGGCGCGCGGGGCCTGCGCGAATCGTGATCGTGAAGGACATTATTTGTGCTCGTATTCTCGGCTCGATTGACGAAAACGAAGGCGGATGTGGTGAGGTTTGTTGGTTGTTCTGTCGACGTTTGTCCAACGGAGAGGTCGGCTTTAAGGCAAAAGGGAATGACGTTGGCAGTTGAAGAGCTTAGCTAACCTTGCTGAGGCCCGAGCTTTTTCCCGAAACTTCGAGGGGCAAAGCTGTCATATGGTGGATTACCCTAACCCTGGCCACTACTTCGCATACCACTGTACGGAACACAGTGTCAGTTACATTACTAACTTTTGGGCGCTGGGGCCACCGACACTGCAGGTCAGTGACCTGCAGTGTCGGAGAGGTCACAGAATCCTTCTCGAAAACCGTTTCGGCACCTGAGGGTAGTGAACTCCACTTTCTAGGCGCTGTTAACGTCGAAAGCCTCAGCAACTGGATTGCCAGCTTACAACTCCATAATACAGAAAGCGCAAGGGACTTGGGTAAATGAGATAATTGAAAGCCACCTTATGCTGCCGTACACGACAGTAACGCTGCATACCCGTCGGCCATCTTCATGAAGAAGGGTTTGCGCGTGGGCTTTTCGTCATTCTGCAGAGCGGGTGGCTTGCGCCCAGCTGCAAGCGCAAGGCCGTGTCCGCGTGTATAGAAACGGTTTTCGATGGCATTTCACATTCCGCGAAAACTGACAGTTCGGTGTGTCCATTGAAGACACGTCTGCGTCGGCTACATTCAAAAGGACAAGCTTTCCCATGCATTCTGATGCAGGGTCACTTACACAACTTGATCTCACCGACGGGACATCCGCATGGCAAGCCATCGGGCTGCATATTTCTGCAAGTCAGGGAGGCGCAAGATTTCCGCAGCGCTGACATCTCGACCAGGGGATGTCGATCTGGATTGATTTGGGATCAAGCCGAGCCCTCCAATACCAGTTCAAATTCGACGAGGAATCTGCTTCGGGCCTTATCTTCTTCACTAACGTCCTCTACTAGTTTGAGAACGGATACCTTACTGCTAGTAGACAACCTGGACAAGAACCAAATTCAATTTAAGGTTGAGCACTGTGCGGGTGGCTGAGGCCGTTGCAGTGTCATCCCCTGCGCCGTGCGCGGTGCCCCGCATTGCACCCCAGCGTAAGTGCCTTCCGCGTGCACGGCAAGATCAGCTCAACCATGACGGAGTCAAGCTCCTTGCTCCTCCCTTACTCCACGCACCCAGCCATTACATCGACATGACAATAGCGGGCGGAATACATTATCGGACTGCACGCGGTACTGCGACAGCTCCCTGACTTAGGAAGGTCCCCTAACGGCATCTCCAGTAAACCGATGCGATTGCAATCGCCGGCCTTGTGTCACACGTCGTCGCAGACTCAGCGTCAGCTTGGATTCGCGGGCAAGCACGCGGTCTGAACCATAACTCCGTTTCCTATTGCAATTACCTTGCATTGTCGGCTTTAACTAGTTAACCACCGTTCGCGCTGCTGTCTACTAAAGCCAGCGTTTTGATTGCGACGCCAATGGTGCTGGCGACGTTGCGCACAAGGTTGAAGGGTTGAGCTTTGCGGGCGATGCACATTTTCCCCAAGGACTCTGCGGACAAAATATGACGCGCAGCCTCACTCCAAACCTGATCTGTGCTGCATCAATGCCGCGCTGACAGCATCGCAAAGCCTCACCGCATCCTTATCCTCGGCTGATATCCCAAGACTCTGCGACTCCTTCCCGAGCGCCTGCTCCAGAACTATTACCCCACACTTTGGGCATCTCCAATTCCGCCCTCCACCCGCTCGCCTGGCGTTTCAACTTCTCTACACTATGTAAGCGCATGCGAAAACATTTTGGCCCAGGGAAGAAGGCATGATGGCTGACCTTGCTTTCTGCCAGATATTATCTACCTCGAACGCGCCTGTGTGTTTGATGCTCTCGAGCTGCCGACACCCACGAATCCAGTTCAGCTAGCGTCAGCTGCAAGCACAAAGGTAGCCCAACCCGCCACGCGTTTTCTGCTGTGCGCCCCTGGACCGGTTGTCGGGCATCTTGCCGTCCAAGAAACACGTTCTCCAAATCCCCGAGTTTCTAGGCGATTTGCCTCCCCACAATTTTCAGAGGACAACCGAAAGGCAGAAGCGAAGGAAGGCATAAACTTGGTTCCCCAAAGCCCCTGCCGTCCGGTGTTTTGCGTTGGGAGACCGTTGCTTCACCTGGCTATAGCATGAGAGACTTCCCGCCTAATCTCAATCTAGCCGGTTGCTATACGGGACAGCGGGACGAAGGACGTCATCCCGGGCCATAATATTTTCCCCAAACTGGATTGGGGTCGCCAGGACGTCCCAATAGTTTCGCCAGGCACAGAAAGCCTTCGGCATCGCGGAGGTGCATCCCCCGACCTGCTCGAGACGCAATGCGACGCAATCGGACCCCACCTCCGGCCTCGCCTTTCCGGGTCCTGGCCCACCATCATGCGCAGCATGGCGCGGCATCCCAGGCGGGACAACACGCGCGAGATTCCGCCTCGTCTGTCATCCGGTCATTCAACGTCGAGACGAACCCGACGCGGCCCGTGCGCCCTTCGCCGCTGACGGCTTCGACCATTCCAGACATGCCACTTGACTTGGTCGACCGTATCCGATCCTTTCCCCTCTTCATGTCCGCCCCCGAAGATTTTCTTGCCGCCATTGGCGCCCATCTGAAGCCCCAAATGCATTCTGCCCACGACCACATACTCACCGAGGGAGACGAGGCAAAAGCGATGTACTGGCTCGTCCGCGGCGTCGTCGCTGTCACCTCTCGCGATGGCGAGGCCGTCTATGCCGAGCTCAAGCCGGGAGCCTTTTTTGGAGAGATTGGTGTCCTGATGGATATGCCGAGAACAGCAACCATCGTGGCAAGAACAAAGTGTCTGCTGGTCGTTCTCAAGAAAGAAGATCTTCAGGCCGAGTTGCCAAAATATCCAGAGATGGAGAAGGCGATTCGTCAAGAAGCTCAGGAGAGACTAGCCATCCTTAAGAAGAAACGCCAAGAGGGCGGCCGGCCCGTTAAGCTTGCAGACACGAGCCCGTCGAAGCTGGCACGCGAGGCAGCGCCAGGTGAGGTCAACACCGGCGACGTGGGGATTATCAGGGAAGGAGCTGTTGTGAATACCAAGAAACGCAAGTCACCCAGCCCCGGCGTCATCGAGGACCCGGCGGTCAGCGGGAGCGCCCTGGGGAGCGGCTACGTCAACGTCCGCAAGACGCTCAAAGAGCTTCCCCTGTTCTCGACACTTCCTCCGGATATACTGCATTTCCTCGGTCTTAGCGCACAGCCCAAATCCTACCCACCCTTTACCGACATAGTCCAGCAGGGGAGCCCCGGGAACGAGATCTTTTTCATAGTTCGCGGTGAGGCAGAGGTGATCCACGAGCCGCCTAGCCCCAGGAGCTCGAGGAGAGCGACTAGGTCTACGTATTCACGTCCAAGACTAAAGCAAGGGCAATATTTCGGAGAGGTATCGAGTCTCGGTCTTTCGGAAGGGAGGACCGCCACGGTTCGGTCTATCACGGCTGTGGAGTGTCTCATGATTGGCGGAGAGGCTCTTCAAGAACTCTGGAAACGATGCCCACCAGAGATCAAATCCCAGGTGGAAGAGACTGCCAGGAAGCGCTACCAGGCAACTGAAGACGACGTAGAGATGGAGGATGTTGAAGCGACGTCGGATGACAAAACGCGAAACTTGTCTGGTATCTCACCTGCTCTTCCAGTAGTCACATTTACCACGCCCCCAAAGCCTGGTTTGCCGGCAGCCGACCAACCGGAGACGCGCCAGCCCTCGGACCCTGATCCGTTTTTGAGCGTCGATATGGAGAACCTCCGAAACAGACGGCGCAATTCTCTTGCACCGCCCGTCCCGCAGACCGACTCTAGCGCCATCGTGTCCGCGATGAGAATGCACCCAATGACCATCACTCCTCCCTTGCTCTCGCCAATATCGGCCGAGGGCTCGCCCCTTCCGACCAAGCGGCCCCGCATCCTCTCCCCAACACCTGACTCAGATGACTTCAGGAGAGAGCCAGCCTTTCCAGACCGTGTCTGGGTTTCCATCTTCCGGCACTTCGATTTGCTCGCGCTGATACGCTTAAGGGCGGTCTGTAAGAGATGGCGCCAACTACTAACGCTGAGCACCGAGCTCTGTACCTATATCGACCTGGGTCCGTTCAACAGAAAAGTGACGGATTGGTCGCTGGCGAATATAATAGCTCCCTTTATAGGTACACGGCCAGTAGAAATAGACATTAGCAACTGCTTCCACATTACGGACGAGGGCTTTCAGGCGCTCTGGAGAACGTGCGGCAAGAACGTCAAGGTTTGGCGGATGAAAAGTGTGTGGGATGTGTCTGCATCGCAGATCCTGGAGATGAGCGAGTGCGCCAAGGGGCTAGAAGAGGTAGACTGGAGCAACTGCCGCAAGGTCGGAGACAACCTTCTCGCGAGGGTAGTCGGGTGGGTGGTGCCTGAACCGCCGCCCGCCCGCGAGCAAGCAAAGCAGGTCGTCATCTCGAGCTCCCTCGCCAAGAGAAGGGGCGCCTCTCCCCATCAGCAGAGGGGCCAAACTCAACGCACCGGTCAACACCCTCCCGCAGCCGCCCCTCCGCCACCAGGCACCGTCATCGGCTGCCCCTCCCTCTCCCGCCTGAACCTCTCGTACTGCAAACACATCACGGACCGGTCCATGGCGCATTTCGCCGCGCACGCGTCGGACCGTCTCCAGTCGCTCTCGCTGACGCGCTGCACGTCCATCACCGACATGGGCTTCCAGTCGTGGGCCGCCCACCGCTTCACCCGGCTCACCCACCTGTGTCTTGCCGACTGCACCTACCTGTCGGACCACTCGATCGAGGCGCTCGCCAGCGCCGCGAAAAATTTGACGCACCTCGATCTCAGCTTCTGCTGCGCCCTTTCGGACCGCGCCACCGAGATGGTCGCCCTCGGCCTGCCCAATCTGCGGGAATTGAGAATGGCCTTTTGCGGTAGTGCCGTTAGCGATGCCAGCTTGGGGTGTGTCGCGCTCCATCTGAATGAGCTCAGGGGGTTGAGTGTTAGGGGGTGTGTCAGGGTTACCGGCAACGGGGTGGAGAATGTGCTTGAGGGCTGTGGTAGGCTGGAATGGCTCGATGTGAGCCAGTGCAAGAATCTTGGTGGGTGGTTGCTCGGCGGCGGGATTGCGAGGTGGGGGTTTGATGAGCGCGTCAAGCGAGGGCAGGCTGCTGGACTTGGTGTTGAGGCACCACAGCCGCAGGCGCAGGCGAAAGGCGGTAAGATGGGTCCCGGCGGGGTCGGGGGAGGAGGGTTAGCTGGAATTGGAACGCTGCCGCCGAGGGCGGTAGCCTCGATGAGGCCGCTTGGTCCGGGCCCGGTCTTGAAGCCTGTCATACCACCGCGAGGGGCGCCCGTTCGCAGGACGAGGAAGCCGGTAAGGTTTGTGGTTGAGAAGGGGCCGGATGGGGGGCTGAGGTGATGCTAGCCTCGTCTCGCCTCTTGGATGGAGGTTGAATGTACAGTGATGATGTTTGATGTTGATGACTGAGGGATTACGGTTATGCTCTTGATGTAAAGGAATGGTCTGGTCTGGACGGGAACTCCTGAGAGTGGCTGGCTAGGGTTTAATGAGGTACATACATCTTGTATTTTCACAGTTACGCTAGACATGTATATGCAAGATTATAGAAGTGATGAAGTGTAGAAAAGGGAGCGAATTTGGAATGGCGGGATTGGTACCAAAGGGGTGTATTTAACACTGGGCAATGGTTGGATTGGGAAATTGGAAGGGAATGATACCCTAGCACATACCCAAGTATGTGAGGAGACTGCATCCGGGCTGACGGTCTTGAGGGCAAAATAGATCTCGTTATCTTGAGGAGTAGTCTTTGTGTGCCTTCGAAGAAGGGACGTTGATGAGGGCAGGGGTGGTCAGGGGTGGGGGGTGGGGGTTTGGGGGAGAGTGGAATGTCACCAAGTCTTGAATTCAGCAGCTGGAATTGTTCAGATTTCAGGTCTTTTAGAAGCATGCACATGAAAACGCCATAGCTAACACTTCTAGACCTCCCATGAACGAAGCAATTTGAAGATGTTTTCTCTGAAGGCATAGGAGTTTGATGCGGGTCCCCTGATACCGGGTGGGTGGTTAACACTGTTAAGGGGCGGCTGGGATTGATGTACGTACCAAGTTGGGTATAGTTACCTTACTTTCTTACGGATACGGCGTGACTCATTCCACCCAGGTCCCAGGGTCGGGGTCGAACACACGGCATACAATCCCAGAAAGTTGAAAAGCTGTATGATCCATAGCAGAAATCTTCCAGCTGACTGGATCTATTTCAACACCTGCACAACCCCCATTGCGCAGAGTATCAAGCTATGACGAACGGAATTGATATCGCAACACCAACTCCGGTCGTCCGGGTCGGCGTGGCTGCGCTTGTACGAGACGCTCAGGGGAGATTGGTGGTGGGCGTTAGGAAGGGTTTCGGAGCCGGTACCTAGCAATTCAATCCCCTTGCCTCGGTGCCGCTCGGAGTTTACATCGAATGCTGACGCGTCGAGACAGGCCAATGGCAATTCCCCGGCGGGCACCTGGAGGTGGGCGAGGGCTATCTTGCGTGCGCCGAGCGCGAGACACTGGAGGAGACGGGCCTGGTTGTCCGGGCCGAGAAGCTAGTTGCGGTGACGAACGATGTTTTCTCGGAGTCGAAGCATTATATCACTCTGTTTGTGTCATGTCGCAGGGTGGATCAGACCATGGAGGCCAAGGTACGTGTCCAGTTCTCGGCAGTGGCACAAGAACTGAAGCTTGAGTTAACCCACCATTGGACACAGGTCACTGAGCCGGAGAAGTGCGAGTCGTGGTCTTGGAAGACTTGGTCTGACATCAAAACCGTCATCGCCGGGGAAAATGGACAAGAAAAGGTTTTTCTACCTATCGTCAATTTGCTGAGGGAAAATCCGAATATCGAGTCTCTGTTTTAGGCCTATATTCTCGGCTTGTTACCAACCGTCCAATGGAGGTGGACTCTCAAATTTGACTTTCACAATCTCATCATCAACCGCAGCCATGTACGGTAAACAGTAACCCCTTCAACTAGCACCCCCCCCTTGCTCCAACCCTCCAACGCCCGCACTACCCTTCCCACTCCTCCTCAACCCCTCCTGCATCCCACTCCCCTCCACCTGCCCAAGACTCTCCCCCTGCAAGCTTGTGCCGGTGCCAGCAATCGGATCTTCAGGGGCCGGGGCATTCTTTTCGCCGCCAAACACGTGTGATGGCCGCAGTGCTTCGGCAACGGAACGGCCCTTTTTGGGCTTGTTGGCCTCGTGCTCTTGCCGTGTCTCGCCGCCTGATGGCTCGTTCATGCACCCCTCGCGCAGGTCGTGGTTGTGGGATACCCCGTGGCGTGTCAGGGCAGAGTCAAAATACCGGTCTTGAGGCATCTTTGGGTTATTCAGAGCCTCTTTCTTGGGGGTTTTGGTGTTTTGAGGTTGTCTGAGTAGTAATGTAATTATGTAATGTAATTAGAGCTTGGTTGGATCTTGGTTGATGTTGATGGTTGATGTTGATAGTTGGTGGTGGTGTGAGTATGGGAGTTGTGTGTGCTGCAGGCTCAAAGCGAGCTATGATGTCATGAGCTGGCAGTGACGGAGCAACATTTCGCCAGAATCAACCGTTCACACAAAGTAAATATGAGATAAGGAGGACCTTGCATTCAACTGCACACCAAAAGCCTAACTAGTGGTCCCTTTATTACTAAGTAACGTCCACATGAACGATACCACTTTACCACTCTACCACTCTGCCCGAGGGGGATGGAAGTTTGAAGGTGGAAGTGGCCTATACACTCCGGTCAGGGAGGAACTTGCTGGAGCCGGGAGAATGTACCATCGGAGGAAAGAACACACGCGAAAACAAACTTCCTGCCCGAAGACCTCGTTTTCTGACGATTTGGCTCAATCCAGTCAATCGGGCGAAAGGCGCTGGCCAGGGACCCGACCTGACCGACCGACACGACCGGGCAGACCGGGCCGACCGGAAGCGGTTTTCCAACCCAAAATCATTTGAGATTTCTGTAAGGCTAATACCCCGATTTCCAGGGGCTGCGCACCCCGGGACACCCCCTTCTTCTCTGCAGTGTACGACGCTCACTCCATCGACTAACACCTCGACTACACGCCGCAGCAACCGCACAGATGCCAATCCACAGCCATTTTTGGGAGCAGGGTACATAAGAGCTGTGCTGTGGCGGCGTATGCTTACATAGAAGTGCAGCTAGTATCCAGGTCTCACAAGGACAGTGCGAGCGCCGATTCTAGGCACAACTCAAGCACGCCTATATGGACCTAGCACTGCTTTATCACCTATATCAATTCCAATGAATAATCCATCTAGAAAGTGAGCTCCAAGTATTCAACTGCAGTCCTCGAAATGCATTCTATTATGCTGTAAGTGGTGGGTATATTGAAGAGAAAAGGTGGTTCGCAACACGTCGAAGTCAGCAGTGTCGTTGGTTTTAGGGAAATGTGGCGACCAATGTGAACGGCGTAAACTCTGGTATAATGACCAAATAAGGAAAGCGAACAGCAAGTCGCTGACTACGTGTACTGACACTCCCGTACCTTAAGCTTGTCGTTGGAACACCATCACAGTTACCTGCAAAAATTCTCAGTGAACAACGGGAAATTACCAGCACCACCTGCATCTTAAATTTAAAGCCCACTGCCTGAGAGGCTGAGACTTTAGCTAAGGTAGACGGTAGAAACTTTCAGAGGACCGCACCGCCTACCAACCGTGGCAGCCGAACCCTGGTATAGTACCTAACGGCAGAGCTAGATGCTCAAGCCTCAAATTGATTGCAAAACAATGAAACAGTTGTGAATTAAAGGCCGACAACGGCCTGGTAGCAACGAGAGTTAGGACGATGATATAGCCTTGACTTCCTTCTCGCCATCATGTCCCTTTCAACTTATTCACTCCTGCTATCCTGGGACCAGCCGCTCTTCGAACTGAGGTCGTCATTCCTCAGTGCCTCATAGCTGAGCTGGTGCCCTTCCATCAGCTTCAAATATTTGTCGGCAGTTTTTCGTGCAGTAATCGCTGCGCTTTCGTGCGCCGCCACGCTGTCGTCCCCGGTCTGCTCTCTTTGCTTAATCCAAACAGTCTTGTACTGTGGGTTGAATTGCTCCCTCGCGCGTGTCTCCCTGGTAGTACCGAATCACTATTAGCACCGCTTTTTCATGCCTTGAGGGGATGTAAAATGAGAAGGTAGCATAGGCTCTCTTATCCACAAACGCGTTGTGCGCCAGATGGTAAAGGACCCGGTCTAGTGAGGCGAGGCAGAGTTAGTGTCGCGGTGGCTCATGATACCTAGTTAGGGGTACCCACGTTCATCTGCACTATGGATCGGCACCTTGTAGCGTCTCCCGATAATACCGGCTAAGAGGTCTTCCTTATCGCGGGGACCGTACTCATCCCTCTTATTCTCATATGTCTTTTTATTGCAACACACGGAGAAGATGAGAATGGTAGATAGTAATGAGTTAAGCTCTCTGGAGAAGGCGGGAGCATAAGTAGGTAGGAAGAAAGTAGGTAAATTGTGCCTCGAGGTAACAAAAGGAAGATGGGAGCTTAAGATGCTATATATATACAAAAGAGAGCTTACCACAGTCTCAGGGGTTGTCAGGGATCTCTAACAGGGGTTAAGAGAGCCCCACAGACAGTGCCCAGAACTCAACACTTTTTGGAATGGTTGTCGAAGTGTTCCTGTGGATCTTTATATGCTCTGTAGGCACGGTGGAGAGCTGTTCCTGGAATGAACTGCTCTTGGCCCTCATCGTCGACGAACATCTGGTCTTCAAATCCAGAGAGATACGTCGTCTTAAATATTTGTCTTCGCCGAGGTTGGGCTTGCGCGGCGTTTTCGGGGGTTTCGGACTGCTCCTCGCCGTCGTCATTGAACACGACGCCATCTGACTGGTCCCCGGCGTTATTGCGAGTAACTCGGGCCGAACCTGATGATGATGAGGATGATGATGACTTGGGAGATGGAGAGCATGAAGGGGAGGATCATTCGTCCCCACGCCTGAAGAACCTGGAGACGAAAGGTGGGGAGCCTCCAGCAGGAGGTGAACCCCGTGCTGACGAGGGGGGGCTGGAACTGGAATTTCCAGTATCAGGGGAGGGAGGATCAAAAGAAATAGCGCTGTCTGCCATTTTTAGGACTTGATTGAAGGTCTTTCTGGGGAGAAAGTTCAGAGTGGAATGGTTTCAGGCACTGCAGTTGTGAGACTGACTGACTGTGACTGAAGTGCTAAGTTCTGAAACTGGAGAAAGTTGAATTCTTTCTACTGATTTATACTGCTACCCGAGAAGCCAGAAATCGACTGAATCTGTGAAGTAGTTGGGATGGAATTGCTCTGGGCCATTGTCTGCAGTTTGATTCAAATGGCTATGGGCTATTGTTCGGTGTCTGAATAGATTCGTGACCCGTGAATAGATTTGTGACCCGTCGGCACAGCGCGTGCTTAATTCAACTCAATCGGTACAATGACATTAATGACAATATTGTCTTTCCATTAGCCATGATGTACAATCTCATAACCGTCCCAGCTTCAGGCTTGCCTTTCCTTTTGCTACAAGTAACAAACCCACGGGGCGATGAGCACACAATAGCTACAAGAGAATGGCATCTAGAGCTCGTATTACAATAGTTTGGATGGTACTAGCATTATAACCCTGGATACTACCTACGTGTATGAACTTGCCCAATCCTGCGAGTATCTTGATCCGAAGAGCAGTGACAGTGAAATTGGTGATAACTTTAACTATAACCGTAACGGTAACACTGACAGAATGAGTCACAGTCTCGCAGAGATGTCCTACCGCTAAGCAACTGCCAGCTTTGTCATCACGGGAGATTTTAAAATCGAGTCAAATTCTCTCGTTGCAATTTCTCTGCTGGAAAGAAATAACATTCTTCTACTTTCTCGAAAGTCGGAACACGTTGAGGTACATGCAAAGTTGAGAAGGTCCTCGCAATACCTAAAGAGGTATGTATTGTATTGTATTGTACTGTACTGCACTGTACCTTACCTAACCTGCGCTAAGGTACAAATAACCTAACTCGGTCCAACTTTCTCCCAAACATCACTCATTCAAAACCGCAACTCGCCCACCGACTTCACTAGTAGCAGCCTCCATCGACCACCTCCCCAACTCAGCCAAGATGCAGACAACTACTTTGTCGCAGCTGCCGCTGCACGTTCTCTCGATAGTGCTGTCAAAACTAGACAGCATCCAGTCATTATCATCCGCCATCTTCAGCCACTCGTCTCTCTATGCTGCGTTTCCGTGAGACACCCAATACCATCGTCCGCACCATCCTCCAGACACAATTCCCGGAGCGTCTGCTCAGATTCGCGATTCCTTGTTACTCGTCGACCGGACCTGATCTTGATCGCGGCGACTTTGAAAAGAAACGCCAAGCCGAACTCCGAGCGATGATTGAATACTTGAAGCAGCATCCCCCCCGTAGACGGCTCAAATCACGGATATATAGGGGAATACTGCCCCCCAGTTATGTTACGCTCGCACCAGATTTTGGCACCGGTGACCTCGAAAGGATCAACCTGTTCCTGCAAGAAAACTTTGGTGTTGGCGGCGGTTCCCTGTACGAGAAGACACCAGCGGCGTTCATCGGACCCGAGCCGATCGACATGGACCTTGCCAGCGTCCTCAGCAAAACGCAAAACATCCTGGACTACTTCACAAATGACTTTCTTCGGGAAACTTTGCCATTCGCCAGAAACCACTTCGCCCTGCAAAGGACCGTCGCTTCTGCCGATGAGATTCCAACCCTACCTACCATCGCAAGTTTGCAACACACCTAGTTCTCGCCCGTTCTCATCACCGCCGCCGCGCACCTTTCCGTTCTCCCCATCCCATCACCACCACTGGATGATATCAACTTCGGCCAGCTTACCGTCGCCCAAACACCGCCGACCTTGACGCAGGGTGCCCTGCACCCCACCACAATATTGCCTGCACCCGAGCAGGCCTGTGTAACTTTTTTTCTCTCCATTCCTTAGCCTGAAATTCGCACAATATAGTGGCTATAACAGCGATTCGTTCCAACTTCCAGTATCGACAGTGGGCTGAACGACCTAACGTCCATGTCGGCTTACATTACATTGATGTTTCCGCCGGTATGGGTTAGTGTCACTCATGATGGTGCTGCCTGGCGAGTTGCAACATAACGTCCGGCTCTTGGCAGCAATGATCGACTTCGAAGACATACACGACAGCTATGTTCCCGCCGCCTTTTCAAGACGACACTGTACGTTCATTGCTGTTGTCGGATATCTAGGTATCTTCGTGAATGAATTGGTCAAGGTCGACAAGGCCATCGCCGAAAGGGCCGGAAGAAAGTCGGCACCACCAAGGGAAAGCGCGACGTGCTGGCGGAGGAGTTTGCCCGCCTTGTGCGGTCGTTCTCACAGCACTTCGCCGCCGCCCAAGCCAATCGCTTTTGAAGCACGGATACGTTCAGTGGAGATTAGGTTCCGGCTACGGAAACCATCCAGGCTGAGAAGGACGCCATCGTCGGCTCGGTGAATCTTCTAATCGTCCGGAAAGGCTGCAAAATATCACATGTACACCTTTTCGCAACCATGGAAGGTTAGAATATCCTGCGGGAATGAGAGGAGCTACTCTCTACATAAATCACAAACACCATGCCACAGCCAACTCACCCTCCTTCGATGGCGGGGTGGCAACCCGTCAATAGGCGCAGTCTCAAAAGGTAAACCTCTCTCATGATCCGGGTCTGTCCTGGACGAGGTGGTGGAAAACCGGGGGAGGATCAGCAGCCGAATTGACAATGGGGTTCAGCCCGGATGTAGAAGGCAAGGTCAAGAAACTTGAGGAGCAGGTTGAGACACTCAAGCAGGCTCTAGCAAGCCGAAAAAGAGAGGGCTGAGTAAACAGCCAGGGCAAAGACTTCGATTGGGCGGAGGAGGAGAAGATTTACCGTGGCAGGGAAACGCCGAACCTTCAACGCTGAGCTGCATGTCACGCACGAGTTCGCGCCGCCAATGCCGTGGACATCACGGCAATAACGAGGCGAATGACGATGCAACTGGAATCCGCCCTGAAGAGGGCATTATTGATCACGATCGAAGAGCTGTGCGAAAACAGGCGCGTATCGCCGGAGGCCAAGGGTCATTAAGAAGGAATATGGGCTGTAGCGAGTGCTGATGGGGAACTGCCAACAATGCCGCTGTGGCTTGCCGGGCGTAGGCAACCTCCTCCGTCGACTCGGAACCCGAGGAATCACCACAAAGGCAAACAAGAACGCGAACAACTCCCACTGCCCCATCTGGAGCAGCTAAAAAGCATTCACAATCACAAGAGCGACTGCCAAAGCTTCTTCCGGAACACATCTCCGCGTTAGATATCCTGGCCGAGTGCCAGGCGGAAGCGGACTGTGCGGCTTGGTTTCAGGAACTTGCACAACGACAACGAACGATGATTTAAGATTGGAGAGGTTGATTTAAGCTCATAAAGGCAATTACCTGAACTGGAAGGAGTACAAGACCCACCCTTGGTTTGAAGTGGGTCAACCATGTCTTGGCAGTCGACCCCCTGCAAGGGGCGGTGTCAGGGGGTCTCATACCATACGGACGGAGGTATATAAATCCTTACCTTCCTGCACAATATGACAACGGACCTCCTTATCTTCTCCATTCTTCATCGCTCCCTAGTCCATAACTTTCACTAATTCTCTTGCCCTGCGTTAGAACCCTTACTGGCAGGCCCCAGCCCAGTTAACTGTTGTATATGCGCAACCGTTGTAAAAATAAATTCAGCTTCTCCTGAGATAACCGTTGTCATAGAGATAACCGTTAACAAATTAAGGTTCAGGGAAGCAGGTTCTGATTGGTCTGTTACGCTAGCTGTAGGGCTTCAATTGGCTGGTGCATAAGCTTAAATCGCTAGTGGCCTGGCATCTACGTATCTACGTACCTACCTGACTCCCTGACTGACTCTGTTAATTGATGTGGTGATGGTTGTGGTGCTGTGGTTGTGGTGTTGTGGATGGATGTGGTCCTGGTGCCGTGGATGCGGTCCCGGTGCCGTGGGTGTGGTTCCGGTCCGGGGACTGGGGTTGTAAACTTGGGATCGAAGAACGCTCGGCTCGGCTCTGGTCAATCGGCCCTGTCATTTAGCCCTGTCAATCAGCCCTGTCAATCAGCCCTGCCAATTAGCTCTGTCATTTGCAATGCGAGTGTAAGGCTCGTATGGTCCCAGGACTGTGGTTCTGGTTCCGGGGCTGTGGTTCTGGGAATGGATTGAAGAAGTCAGAAAACTCTGGAAGTTGAAAAACTTATCCTAGCTTCAAGCCTGGGTTATGCCTTCCGTTGAGGAGACTTCAGTCCTCTTGCCCTTGTATAAGTTGTGCCTTCCTTTCGCGATAGCTCCATTCTGGCTCCATTGGCCAGGAAGTAAGCTTAAATCTTAGCCTCAGATCCCATTGGCTCTTTTCCTCCTTGAGGATAACGGTTATCCTGATGGCAACGGTTAACTGCGTTGGGCAAAGGTTGTGTGAAAACAACTGTTATATGGCCCTACATATTCCCATTAAGGACAGCATGCTTCCCAACGTCAACAACTCCGGGGAGGAAACTCAGGGGCATGAAGCCGTCGATATCACTGGACTCCTCTCTCATATGATACTGGATACCAGCAAGGATGCCGAGATGCGCCAGATCTGGGTTCAGTGTTGGAAGAGAATTGACAAGGGCCAGATCAAATATCCGCGAAACCTATGTAAGTCTCAGTTCTAGATCGCTTGGTTCTGCTTCGTATTTCATGTTTGATGTTTAGTACTGATCAGAAGACAGGGAACAGGCCTACGCAGGGAGTTTCGCGGAGATATATGCACACAGTTTCGATGAAAAATATTTTCCACCGCTCGGACCTGGTTTGCTCCCGGGCAGCTTTCGAAGGCATCCTGAACGAAGCTGACTACATACGTGAGTCGCTCTTTTGTAATCATCCATGTAATCATCCGTGTAATCACCCTACCTAACCAGCCCTACTAGTCACCATGAGGGCCGCGAGATGCACGGATCCTGAACAGCTGTTGCACATCATGTTGGTGCGGAAACTCTGTGGGATCTAGACCAGCGGCAACACAAAGGACTCGACGAGGACCAGGAAGAACGGGAAGTGAGATTCACGTCTGGACATCCAGCAGTGGTCTTCGATGGATCCGGGAAGAAACACGTGATCTGGGAGCACCATTACTCCATCTCGCCAGGGAGTGACCGAGCTATTGGCCCCTGGGGAGCGCCCCTGAAGAGCACTCCTCACTGCACCTCCTTCCGGACTAGTATACGCACAGTTCATTTACAATCGGGTCACACATTCATCAATGCATTTGGCCCGCGAATTTTGCTCTGTGATTTGAGAATGGCTTCCGTTACCGTCTTCCTTTCACTTGTGGCTATCTTGAAATCCCTTATCATGACTCACGCTTTGCCAATGGAGCGATTGGCATCTATCCAAGACTTTACCCAGGTTCCCAGCCGGCTTTCAGTTCATCTGTCGACGATGTACCTCTCTCGCGTGATATTAGGACTGCTGCTATCCCCGAACTTGACGAGAACCTGCTCCAGAAGTCAAGGCAGAGGCCTCAATCCGTGACAGGGACTTATCAGCAGCGTCCTAGCTTGTAATCATCACCCCAGGCCCCATACCTGACAAAGCCGTGATGGAGGAGTACTCCCAGTGCCACGAGAAGTCGTTTGACATGAAGGTACCTAGTCAATGTCGCCTGCAGCGGCTGCGAATATCGTGATCCGACACCAGGAAGCCCCGTTCGTTGTTCCGGTCTGCTCTGACCAATATATTGGCCCTGCTTGCTTCGACGAAGAGACGAACCCTGGACAGGTCAACGTTCTGGCTGCAACGGAGCTTGGTCTCGCGGGGCATGAGCCATTAGACGAGCCGAAGCTTTTTGGAGAAGAAAAGAGACACGAGCCCTGCATCCAAACCCGAACCAACATCTTGCTTGACTGGCACCGTGCCAGTCTTTCGTTCCGCCCAGCCGCCCCGGACCACATTTCTAAAGAACAGTGCAATAGTGCATCAGGATTCGACCCCCCCTCACAATTATATATACGATATTCAAAACTACAAGATGTCCCCATTCCGCGAGTCAAAGTACAGCTGGGGCCCGGGGCCCGAGCCAAGGGTCCAAGCAACGAAGCTACAGCGCACCAGTAGGCCCGTCACCCAGTGGACGGGTTCGCAAGTCGCACGGTGGCACGTCGGATAGGACGCTTCTGGATATCTCCGAGGAACATTCTCAGGCCGGGCTCACGTACGGGGCAGTATCCAGGATAAACGCCCGCTGCCTCTCCCGCCAAATCTGGACCATGACAATGACCAATATATATACGCTGCTCACTACTACCTAGTCACCACATGCCACACTGCGGCATCCTCGCTGCACCCTGAGACCCAGCGGCGGATTGTTAGGCCCGGGCAGGAAAAGGAAGCAGAGGAGTTCTGGCTGGTAAAGTCGGGACCGTGAACGATTCCTAACAGAATTCTGCACTGTCAAGGGCTGGGGACTCTTCGTGATGCCTGTTTGGATCCTCTGACCTCCCCCTGACTGTGGCAAACTCGGATCTCTTTCGTATATACCGTGACTTTATATAGTCTCCCGAGCTACTATTCTTCCTTGTGTTACCTCCAGGCACATTATCGCCACCGACCTGTTGCATTCTCATCATCCCGTGCTCCCGCAATCCTTCCTCCTCCAACTTCACACCACTCACGAAGTTGGACCGTATGTCTCCGCCAGACGCGGATATGTACCAGAAAGTGGAGAGGCTCGCCGAGTATTACGCCAAACAGAAGGGCAAGCCAGCGATGCCATTCCAAGCCCTGACCCCGGAGAATAAGGTCGACAATGATGACTCTTTTGGCTTCGTTCTCCGCGTTCCCATATTTTCTGTGCCAGCAATTTTTCTCTTCCCCGGCGCCAGCAATTCCAGCTCTGCGCCCAACAACTTTTCCTCCTCTCTCCCGCCGCGCCCCAGAAGACGTCTGCTGCAGTCAGTAACCTCGGTGGTGGTGGTGGGGGCGGCCCACAATCCTCGTTGCCACCACTGGGTATGGCAAAAGCGCTATTCTGTTCGCTTTTCCCAACTTGACGTGCAAGATGACTACACAAATCGTACCGTTAACGAAGCTGGGCGAAGAGCAGAAGCAGAAATTTGAATGATCATGGTAATGAGACACCAAACCAGTATAGATTGATGGGGACACTCACCTGAAGGTTAGCTGTTTACCCTTACCCCTTACCCCTGAACTCTTTGACTGATAGAGTATACTGTAGAACACGGATACCTAGAAGGAAGTTGAGCGCGAAGACAATGGAAGGGTCGCCATTGGATGGAACAAGGAGCTCCCGCGATCTTACCCACCATTCTCATCTTCTCCGACATTGTGTTGCAATGAAACTCAACGGCGTTGCGAGGACGGAGCGACATGGCGATGGATAATCAACTGCCGAGCACAGCCCTACGCCGATTGACACTCTCTGGAAGGACTGTGGTAATGTTGTCCTGGCCAGGTTGCGGGAATCATCAACGACATAGCGCCATGTTCCGGATGGCGCTGCTGTTTATGCCTTCGGTTCGGAGCGTTTCCATCGCCGCGAGCAAAGGAAAAAAAGGGCATAAATGAATGCTGGAAGACGAGGACCTAACTGATGAAGGGAATCGACTGGGAATGGAAATCACCATCTCGACGACCAGAGAGATGAAGTGAACTTGGATTGGGAGAACATCGCTGACGGGATGTATGGATGGAATGGGAGAGAAAAGCAATAAAAATGATTGATTGAAGCAATGAAAACAAAAATCAAAAAGAATAAACCGGCATAAAGCTCGGCCCCGGGAGGTCAGGGGAGTTCCAACCCGGCCCGCGAATAGATGTTGAATCTAGACTGGATGAGGTTCGAACTCGTGACCTCCCAGGCCTAGGAAACCGTGCACAACGATTTCATAGTTAGGTGGTGGAAGGGGAGCGCCCGTTCATTCCGCTCGACCACGGCGCCCCCGTGGTGAGTCTAACTTGGCAGGTACCTCGTTGGAACTGGATCATATACCCCGTGGCGCGTCGACATCGGATGAAATGCCCCCCAGGGGCCAAACCCCCTCCTCTCCCCGCCAAGCTACACACTCTTCCACCACACGAGCTCTCTCACCGAGTTCGCGGGGGAGATGTGTAGTGAAGCACTGGGATTTCACCGCTTAAGGCCTGCTGGCCGGCCACGAACCACATCACCCCACCACCAAAGGGACCTGGTTGGACCATGAAGCCTTGAGACTGGAGTCAGGATGGGCGCACGGGGATATTCATATATTATACGTCGAAAGTCATGTTGATCGGCCCACAACTCGACAATAAGCAGTAAGCCCCACGATGAAGCGCGGGATCTGTTCCGCCAATTCATCTTCCAGAACGTCCGCCGTGACCAGCGATCCAGTGGGAAGAAATTCCAATGTCAGAGATATATAGCCATGAATTCACAATGTTTCGGAAACCTCTACTCAAGTTTCCATCTTAAGAGACGTCGAGATGGGTTGGGCCTGCCTCCTGTGTAGGTCAAGGCGCAAACTTCAGAAAGATTCAGCGATGAAGAGCACCAGCCAGTACCAGACATGGCGGAACGAATCCTTAACGTACGGCAAAATTGTTGTATGAACAGCCTGGAATGAAGAAGTCCGTCATCCGAATGAATGGATTGGGCTCCGAGGCCAAGTTCAGCGACAGAATCAACGCTGTCGAGGAAACAGCAAGGGAGGTGATGCTCGTCGACTCCTCGAAGCAATTACTTGGCACTACCAAGGTTTGCCTAGTAATGTACGCAGCCTGAGCCATGTTGTTGGTTGGGAGAGGGAGTGGAAGCGACGGATTGCATTGATGGACGGCATGGAGAAGATTTCCGCCACCTCAAGCGACAATTCAGCTTGGCCATGGAAGACAGGACTTTTTGGATCAGGAACTCTTGCGTTATGAGTTGGCTCGGAATCAATCGACCCTCTGAATCCACAATCTACGTCCTCCACAATGCGTACAAATTGAAGCTCTCATCATGATCTCATCTACCACAACACCAGATTGACGATCCTACAAAGTCACCTCAAGCAGAAGAGGTTCACGATCCGATCTGAGTCTCATAGGTGACCTTATTCAAACTTTACGTGCCCGGAAATATGTGTCGCGAGATGAGGTCAATGTATGAGTGTCTTCGCTCTGAAATAGATGGCAACTTCAAGTTCATCCCTAGATAGGAGGTACCCAGCTTTCTGTGCGAGACTGGTGATTACTCTATATATAGTGAAATTACGAATGTTATCTAAAGCCCGTCTCTTCCTGTGCCTGGAGATGGACGGGATTTCGTGGTTGAAGTTCGCCACATGAGACCCCATCTCAAGACCGTCAAGGATGAGCGCTGGTGGCCCAACCCACTCCTGGCCAAGAAGTTGGCTCTCCTCAAACCCCAGCAGAAGGCTGCTTACATTCACGGTTTCAACAACGTCCCTGGCCCTTGAGATTTAGTCATGTGTCCCGCAAGTTCAGTTGAAGTGGTGGTGGAAGGTCTAATCAGGTATCAATCAAAACATTCGGGGCAGGGGCAACACTTCACTGTTCGGTTGCTGGTTGCTGTTCGCGTGCTGTTCTGGCAACCCACACATGAGATGAAATGCTGGTAAAGATAATAATCTTGTCCACATGACACTTTGGCACTTCATCGATCAGACTGAATTGGGTTGGGAGCCTCTCGAGTGCCAGTATATATTTCTCCCGCCCCCCCAATCTCTTCCCTAATTCTTCTTCCCTCTTCTTCCACAGACTCTTCGACTCACCAGCGATCACGAATTTCAACACGCTTTTTGAACCCATCTTCGACTTCAATTCTCAGCATTCCCTTCGCTGATTTCTACTAGCGAAGCCTCTCCGCTTTTTCCATCGCGCTTTTTTCGTTCTCCCACCACCGCTCGAGTCTTCACGAGTCTTTTTTTATCGAAAACGTCAACGCTACCTACGTTGGCGACTCTTTCTACCTTCTCAGCCAAATTCTCTCAGTCATCACCAGCAGGTAAGTTCAGTTCGTGGACTCCACAAGGCTCAAAAAGCATCGGCCTCGCGAACCTTGCCGACACCCCACCATCATATCCACTTCCCTCGTCCCGAATTCCTGACGCGACCAAAATTTTCTTGTCGCGTCAACCGACTCCAGGTGCTTTTCGCGCCGACAGTTTCCGCTCGACCGCAATTTTGCAATCACACCATGACGGCGAGGCCTCCGCTGACAGCGTGAATCCAGATCAACAAGTACCCATCGCCGTCATGGAGACCATCGTCGCCGTCCGTCGTGCTGCCGGGAGTGCCGGCAAGCTCAACATTCTCGCGGGCCGGGTTCTTGGCTGTGCCAGGGTTGGGGGCCCCCTCAAGCCCTTCCACGAAGAGTTCCCGCTCTTCGTCAAGGCCCTCGTCTTCCTTTCGGTTGCCGGGACCGACACCAACCGGGCGGACGAGACCAAGTCTGTCCTAGCCGCCGGTCACGCTATCGACCCTTCGGCATCCGACGATGGTGCTCCGCTGCCACCAACGGTTGCCGTGGCTGCTACTGGCCCCGCCGACGTTGCGTGTGGACCCGCGGATTTGGTCCTGCCGACTGAGCCCGCTGCCGCCGACGATGGCTTTTCCTCCTCCGCCAACAAGCCCCCCAACAACATTCCGGTCGATGGGTCCCCAATCGAAGTTGATGCCAAAGAAGCCCAAATCGCGGATGGCTTGCCTTCCGGTGACCGCGTCGTCGACGATGGCGGCGCTCCTACCATCAACGGAGAAGCCGTTGCGGGTGCGGCCAGCAGTCCGGTCCCCGTTTACCCCTTGTCATTCGAAGACGACTTCGACGCCCCCGTCACTTCGGTCTTCGATGCCGAATTTGAGCGTTTTCTGGGAGTGGACGAGGATTGGTCCATCCCCAGGCTGCTCGATAGCGAGGTGAAAATGGAGATTGCGCGCAGCATTGCCCTGGAGAGACAGAAGTTGTGGCAGTCTAGGTCCCCGGCCCTCATGCAGACGATCTTCCTAGAACACGCCATCGGACAGCTCCCATTGTACGCTTCGTCTGTCTCTGCTCCAGGCCAGGCTAGCCGCACTTCAACGACGCCCGTTGAGATTGCAAGCCCAACCAACAACGGCGTATATCTACGCAGCGTTTCGTCAAGGTATGCTTCCATTCTCTTGCTAATCGTTGCGCTATCTATTATGTTAACCATCCAAACAGTAGCTCAAGCTCCAAAAGCTCTGCAGAGAGCCAACTTCCAGACGCCGGCATGGAGACTCCCTTGACGGGGTGCTCTTCTCCCGTGACGTCCCCCGCGGTTTCGGACGACGGGCTGGTGCCCGAGGCGGAACACAAATCAGAAGCGGGAAGGGTCACGCATACGGCCGCGAACAACAATTGCCCTCCCGACGTCGAAGAAGTCGAGAAGATCACCGATCTCGCAAAGCTCGACGTCACCGAGCCTGACGACAAGCAAACAGCTGTCACACCAGACTCGGCTGCGACCAACAACGACGAAGCCGCTGAGGACGAGAACGTCGGCACAGGATTCTAGGAAATCTTGGCCACGTATCCTGTCCCAATGTACGACGAGCGCGAGCTCCTGTACGCGGCTCGCTCCGATGGCATGGTGTGTTGGTACTGGCCGGAGACCGGCTACCTTGAGCCCTTAGCCGAAAGTGATTTTGAGCAATACTATGCGCTCATCACTGAACCCTGCACCGAGTCAACAGTCGCGCAGCAACACGACGACGCCGTCAACGACCTGCAGGAGCCCAACGCCGACCATGCGCGCCACCTCGAGCAGGCCCAAATCAACAATGATCAGAACCCGGACTACCTCTACGCCGAGTCAGTCCAGTCCCGGGCGAGCATCGTGGATTCGGAATGGGGGTACGAGTCGTGCATTGACGAAAACGGCCACATGGCCCTCCGCCGTGAGTTGGAGGTTCGGTCGGGTGTCAATGAGGGCAGACTGCAGCGTTGCAAGTGGTTTGGCTGGCAGTCGCGCGACAAGGCGGCGGTCCGAGCCCCGGGCGTTCCGGAGCTGATGCTCACACTGCCGAGCGGTCACGAGTTTTGGCTGGACGACGACCAGGAGTACCCATACGAGTACAAACCCGAGGGAGATGAGAAGTACTGCGCCCCGCCTCCTGTCGAGTACCCCGATTACGAGTACGACTACCAGTACGACCAGGAGGAAGCAGAGTCCAACGGTGAAGAAGAATACTCCGCCCCTCCCCCGGACGTCGCGGCCGCCGTTATGGATCAATGCGAGAACATTGAGCGCATGATGGCCGAGGAGCAGCCTGCAGCTGCGGACGAGGAACCGGCGCCAAGTGTCGATGCGACGACCATCTGGCTGGAAGATCCGACCTTTGTCTCTGGCAAGAGCTGGGAGGACCTGGATGAGGAGTACGAGGAGTACTTGGCCTCCAAGAAGAAAGTTGAAAGCCCCACCAACTGGCTGGCTGGATGATCATACCTTTGTCTCAGGCCGCAGCTGGGAAGATTTGGAGGACGAGTACGAGGAGTACTTGGCTTCTCAGCAATGAGGGAGCATCTCCCCGATACATATGTGGTGGTGAGGTGCGTGCTTGGACGGACTATGCTTACGTGTCCGAGACTCAGGGATTGGCATGGCATGTACGATGGGCGAGGAAGACTGAGTTTGGAATAGTGGCGTTTGGACTTTCGGGATAGATATGTTGTCTTTCTGGTTTGGGAGATTACGGAAGAGGGCAACCTCAGGCGCGGGAATTGAACTTTTTTGGCACCGCACTAATCACTGTATATCCGATGACTCCTTCTTCTGTGTGAATTGTGATACTGAGTACGTGAGTAACTAACCATTAGGCCTTGGACGACCCCTACTCCGATGACAAGGTGCTCTATCGTCGAGCGACACCCTTGCTCTCCTGTCCAGGAGAGGTGCTAAGCCGCTTCCGCACCTGTCGATGCTGACGGATAGGCTCCAAAGCCCGTTTCCTCTTTCGCTCGCGGCTGTGGCATGGAAATCAGTCGTCAGCGGTCGAGCTCAGCCAGCCGAGGAGAGTCAGGACGGGGTTGGCAACATACTACTTGGCCAGGAGAACCTCGTTGATCTCGTCACCCTCTTCATCTTCACCAGACCGGTCCGTCAGTGAGATAGAAGACACAGGGTACTGGGCGGCATAGTCCGGAGTTCCACGCGGCGGTCCATTGCTCGACTGCTGAAGAGAGAGCGCAAGCAGTTCATGGGCCTCCAGTCCGCTAGCCAAATATCGGGTCATCGGACTCTGTCGGGCGGCGGGCAGGCAAACATTCCTGAGAGCGACGATCGCAGCTTGCCTGCGTAGCTCTGTCCGGGGTCTTGGGCCCACTGGCAATGATAGAGCAATCAACTCGTAGGGCTCCGGAGTGTTGATGAATCGTTCAAACGGAGTCGGTTGGGTAGGGGTAGTCATCTCTTTCATGTTGATGGAAGCATTCATCGCCTGCAAGCCGTATAAGTCGGTGCCGATAACATCAACCTTTACCCCAACGTCCGGGTTCTGCGTGCTGAGATCGGCTGCAGAGTCTTTGCAATGACCCCATTCAGCAGCCACAGTCCGGTTGCTGATTCACGGAGTTAGGGAGACATGTTAACCAGAAGCATCTGTTTTGAAGTGTGATACAGAGGCGATGGAATTACCACCTACCTATCGGTCTCAAGGTCTGAAACCGACCATGCCCAACTAGACTGTAGACTAATGGAGCTTAGTCTCCGTTCGCGAGACTCTCGGGTGGTGGTGAGATGGTCCCGTTCGTGGACCATGCCACAGTACTCGATAGGCATCAAGGGGGGCATGTCAGGGCGGGCAGTTACGTGGCTGCCCCGCGGTCTGGATAAAAGACAATAGAAGATACGGCCGGAGCTCGCGTCAGCCGGGATTCAGTTCCAGGTAAGAAGCCTGGTAGTGAACAGGACGGCTCGTGTTGTTGGGGGAAGTTGCCATGTCGAACCTGGGCTCGAGTCCTTTTCAATGACCACTCGGGTTTCTCAATGTCCAAGGAGCAGACGGGACCCATACTGTCGGGTCAATCCAGGGGGTGCAGAATCCGGTCAGAGGTACCGGGGCTCTGTGACATCAGGCAACCCGCCGCATGGATGCATACAATGGGTGCCACACATGGAATTGAAATGTCGGTTCCAAACTGCCGGGCCGAGCTCAGAAGGGTTGGGCTCGCCCAGCCCCTCATCGCACAATGGCCCGCGGTTCACGACTCCACGAGGCCGGAGAAGCTAGCGGGTACCCTTACAACCATAACCCCGTTCTATTTGCTGCTGTCAGTGTCAGGCACCTTGACAGGGTGGCACTGCCCACCGCGCAGTATGGGGGCAAGGAGGCGTCCGGGAGGCAGAGTGGTCCCAAACCGTCGGGACGTGCCCAGGTGAGATCACCAAACCTGCATGCCCTGGATAAGTCTAGCGTGAAAGCCATCCCGCTCCAAGATCCGTCACCAGCCAACCATAGCCGTGTTCACCTCCTCTTGCTTTGCAGTAGTGCACGTGTACGGCACAGCATATCAGGAGCAACCCTCCCGCCACCGAGCTTATGGTTCGCACCTTGCTTTTCAATACCTTTCTTCTGGTAATTCCCTAGGTACTTATCAACCACTTACCTCCACTGTAAGGTTGTACCTTACTGTGGGGTGATGTGACTGCCTCGAGCTTGCTTGGGTCAGATATAGACGATACTCGCGGCAATGTAGCGGTGTGACTTGGCTAGGTAGCTTACCTTAATCACATTCCCATTGCACAAAATGGTCGGATGTTCAATGCTTTCACTAACTCGCGCAAGGCTTCGTGGATGAAAATGAGCAGGTCAAGATGGAAAGGAGGCGATTTGCTATTGGATCAAACTCAAAGAACACATACTCGACAACCTGAACTTGTGTGCAAAGCTCAAGCAGTAGATCCAGCCTATCTATGATGATGCAAGAGCTCAGCGAAGGTGCTTCTGTCGGTCTATGTGGAACTGCTGGTGCCTGCCTCAAGTTCTATTGGAAATGAGGCCCTGGATTTGATGCCTTAGTTGGGCCTAGTGCGCCCCAGAAAAAGCTCTGCCCCCTACGCCCAGCGCTCTATAATAGCCACTACTGCAGAGCCAACTTACCGCTCTTCTACAGTACAGAATCCACCACTAGATTGACACTCCAAAGCTCACCATTGGCCCTGTTGAGAGCGATATCGCTATATTACCTCTGTGAGTAACCGGCTTAGCTGTTTCCAACAAGTTCATAACTGCTGACAAGTGGTGGAAGCATCCCCTTTGGCAAGGTAGGTACTGAGCGCACGAATCTGTTACGGTAAGAGGGGTAGTTGAGAGGACAATTTTAACGTGACAAAATTGGGCTGCACTAATAGCAGGTACATGCACGCCTTTTCCTACCGCACTTCTGGATACGTCAGTCCGAGTTTGAAGGAAGGCATGATTCACTTGGTAGCTATTCCCCAACGCAAAGGTTCGTCTGTATCAGCTTGCCAGCAAGTTCTGTGCCTATCTAACCAGCGTTCCTCGGAGGATCATTTTACAGCGCGTCAGGGAGTAGGCCTTGGCTTCCCAGCCTTATGGCCAGAGCCATGACATGTAAGTGCATTCAATGGCATGCGAAGAGGCCAGTACTGACAACATGAGCTATGGTCAGCATTATGGCTCATAGGGGCTATCCAGCTGGATTTCAGCCCGTTGTGATAAGTTGTTGTATTAGCAAAACCCTTTAAGTTGTATTGAGGCACCGCGCTTCTGTGACGAATCTCGGTCCCCTACACTCGGTACAACGACAGTCGCGCTTCTCCGGGGTGGACCAGGAAAGCGTCAATACGCTCTCCAGGCTTGCACGGTTAGTGCCATCGAGGAGGAGGGTAATGGGAAGCCCTTCGTTGCTCCGGGCACAAAGGCGCAGCGCGATAGAATATGGATAGCCTGGACCGAGTACGTCTTCTTCCCCTCCTTCCCAGGCTTCTTTAACCCAAACAAATCTCGATATAAAGCCTGGGGCAAATGTGCTGATGTGTTGCTAATTTCCATCATTTCTCGAAGTTTCTGTGAACTTACTAGGAAGAAAGAAGCCTCAATGTACAGGTATGGCGCTCTCCGAACATATGCGGCTCACCATCGAGCCCTAAAACTGATGCTAACTAAGTGAAGCTGTGGTGGTTTCGACTCCTGCCGCTTCTGGGTGGACTTCGCCCTGGATCCATCAAACCCAAACCTTCTGGCACCGGTCCAGACCTTTCTACACAAATATGTGGGAAGCTCCTACAAGGAACGTGTCGTGCTAGGGCCTGACGAGCGCGCCATGGTCCGCACGGTCAACTCCGCTTATAGCGTCATTGAGGTTTGGCGAAGGCTCGTCGCAGCGGCCGATTTCAATGTCCTCCGTGTTGAGCGGGCTGCGCTACGAAGGAATGATCAAGCCCAGAAGGCCAGCCGGCTTGTGCTGAAGTGGGAGCAAGAAGGCGCGAAACGCGAGGGGGCCCGCCTATTCAATTGTCAGGGTATGTGCGGCTGAAACCACTCTATTACTTCCCGCCCCCCTTGTACGGAATTTGGATTACCTTATATATATCCTTGAGGATACTTCCTCTACGCCTCCTCTCTTCCCATTCTATGCTCCTACTATTGGTATACTTTACTGACTAGTACCTGGCTAGTGGATTCTCCAAATATTAACCCCAACACTCGGGTTGGAGATGGGCTCGTCGTACGAGAAGGTCGAGGCAACAGCAGCAGACATTATCATCATTCTTACAGCGCTGTATCAGCGTGCTGATGATATACTCGCTACGCCACTTACGAGGGTGTCGGGTCCACCACGCGATCCTTCAACTGGGTACCGGCGGTTTCCGTCCAGGCTGCCTTGAAGATACCCTGTGCAAGCAGTTCACCATATCTATCGTGCGCGATCCCGATGATCCGACCTGGGTGAAGACCATTGTCTAAACAGGATTGATCGGAACAAGATCAAGGAGGCCGAGAAGACCGTCAAATACAGGAAGAACACATCGTAAGTAGCTGCATCCATTAGCAGATGGGAG